AACAAGAAGAATGGAATCGCACGTGCATTAGGATACACAAGCTACATCTTTCTCGCTCTGAAGTTTGGTTTTTGTTTGTTAACTGTGTTGTTGATCTGTTTAGAAATCCTCCAAGCAGTCACGGAAATCTCCCGGAGATGAAGATGATAAGGACTGCAAAGAGGAAGAAAATAAGAGCGGCTCTGATGCTGGAGACGCAGGCAATGACACAAGAAACACTTCAGATTTGCAGAAAACCAGTGAAGGGGTAATCTTCCGTTCCATTCCCTTTGTGTGCCGTTTGTTATCACAGACCCTCAAACTCATCGGTGAAGGGCATCTTGTGCAGAGGTCTATACACTACCTAAGTCCTGCTCAACTCCTGCTTTGAGGGTGCAAGTGGTGTTGGCCTTACACAGGGATGAATTTCACCCTTTATGAGTGAGCGAGCTGTAGTAAACACTGTGGGCATGGTTTTTCCTCTCACCGACACCATCATAAAACAGGAGTAGTGCCACTGAAGTCAGTGAAGTTGCACTGATGCAAAACTGACATGAGACCAGAATCAGGGCCTGTGCACTGTGGCTTGCTGCATGCAGTGGGCCTGCTCATTCTCCCGCATGATTCACACTTACAATATTCTTCCAGATTCTTTGGAGCTGCTTCTGATTGACACAGACGGCAAGTCAGAGGAGAATCAGGCTGTGCGTGTGCAGCTTTCTGGGCTGATCCTACTCTGAGTTTCACTGTGCTGAAGAGGGCATATAATGGCATCCTGCCCTAGAGCAGCATTTCTCAAAGTGTGGTTTGTGGTCCAGTACAGGTCCTTTGAAAAAAAAATACTGGTTCTTAGCAAAATTATCGCACATGATCTTATTAATTTGTGTGATGGGGCAGCAGCACCCTGCACTACCGAGTGCAGTGGCATGGCCCTCTTGGTAGAGAGCCCACCGCTGCAGCGTCTCTGCCGGGCATGCTCCTGTGCGGCGCGGCTAGATCCGGTGGGCACTAGGATCCAAGGAGAAGGCCGATAAAGCGGCAGGGATTGGGGCCGGGGGGGGGGGCGGAACAACCCGCTGGACAAGTGGGGTCAGCGACACAATTTATTTGCAAATTCATCATTTGCTTAATGAATATTCAAATATACAAATAAATGTTACCGGTCCTCCAAAAGCTTGTGAATGGGTTTACTGGTCCCCAGTATCAAAAAGATTGGGAACCTCTACCCTAGAGCATGAAACCTCTACATCCCTCAGAACTCTGATCCACATACGCTTGTGCCCATGGTACTCCCTGCCATTGTTACTGTGAGCCGAGCAATAGACAGGGAGAGTGTTGGGCAGGAGAACTGTGTCGTGGTGTGTTTGTGTCCAAATGGGTGAACTGCAGCCACCTTTTAAAAAACAACTACTCCTACCCTGCATTGTCGTACTCTGTTCACTCTGCACAGATAACTGGTCTTCTCAAGTGTATCTTACGATCTCCCCCATCACAGTACTTTATGGTTGTGTGAGGGTTGTCATTGTTTTACTGCTCTAAATACTGAGTCCTATACTGAAATGTACACTGGGGCTGGCTGGCCCTCGCTCTTGCATGCAGAACCCTAAGTCAACACTGATTCAGGCACGGTGTTGGTGCAAAGTGCCTGCCAGATGCTTGGGTCAGACTCCCAGACACACATTCGTGAGAGTAGCATCGCAGCAGGTTACTTCCCATGTTCAGAGTTTGTCGGAAAGTGCTGTCTTCTTAGAGTTTTGCTTGCTCTTAATAATAGACCAGATTAATTTTCAAAGCTCAGGATAGTCTCCAGGTCAGGATTGAAATGATGATTGTTTGGTTTTGGTGAGCGACTATGGCATAAAATGCCATGGTAATATTCTCATGTAAGGATGAAATTCATACACCTCTCCCTCCTGCCCAATGTGTGAGAGTTCTAACTCCACGGAGGTTGGAGTGGGATGAAACTCACCTTCCCACACCACACGCAGGGAGAGGGGCTGTTCGTCAGCATTTCCAGGCCCTGTGCTGGAACAGGGTGTACAATCCCTGCACACCTCTTCCAAGGGGATTCATAAGCACTGACTCCAGGCAATCGTTCACTCGCTGTTACTACTCCAGGACACCACAGACGCTGCCACTCCACTTTTTCTGAGTGGCTGATGTAGAGATTTGAGGGCATGGCTACCCACCTTGCATGTAGCATAACCACTGGTTCTGCTGTGCTAAGGGACTTCTGCGCCTCTGCACACGGAGAGTATATTTCCTCAGGATTTCTCATTAGAGTTTTCCAGTTGTCCTTTTAAAGTCCTGTTCCAAGGAAGTGGTGGAGTCTTCATCTCTTGATGTCCTCTCATCAAGACTGGATACCTTTCTGGAAGATTCACTTTAGTCAAACAAGTTATGAGGCTCAAGGCAGGGGTAATTGATACGTCACAAACCAAAGAATTTCACCCAGAGGTGAGACGAGCTGATCTAATGGTCCCATTTGGCCTTGAGATCCATGAAAGAGCATTTGAACAGAGTGGGCCTGCTCCTCTTCTCACGTACCCCCATCATACTCAGAAAAGATAGACCTGGCTTAGGTGGGAGTGAGAGGAATCAAGCTCAGTGGGTTCATCTGGTCATAAGAAGGTGCCAGGAACATAATACAAACACATACTTTGGGCTGCTTGTTCCAGCTCTGGGCATGCAAGACTAGGAATAGGAAATCGGTGGTTTTGATCCTGACTTTTGCACCTCTAATTATAAATAACAAGCAGCCTCTTTAACGCGGCTATCTAGCATAAGGATGCAAGCGACTGGTCGACTAAGCATAAACTAATCAGATAGTTGACTAGTGATGCGACTGGTCGCTTCCTCCCACACCACTGCCTCTAACAGAGTGAGGCAGCCAGGGAGAGGGAGCAGGAGCCGGTGCTGTAGGGAGCGGTCTGAAAAGCCGGTTCCACCCAGCACCATCTCCACAGAGGGCAGGGGAGATAGAGGCACAGCAGGAAATAGCGCAAGCAGGGACTGAAGCAGACTCCGCTTGTGCTGTTTTTTATGATTCTGCTTTTGAAATGTATAAGAGGCCCCGCGGGGAGCCAGTGGGGTCTCTTGTACATTTCAAAAGCAGAAGCCCCACAGGGAGGAGCCCCACTGGGGAGTCCCCAGCTGGCCCTACGCTTCCTGTGGGGCTTCCACTTTTGAACTGTAGCAGGAGCCCTGCTAGGCTCTTGCTACAGTTCAAAGGTAGAGGCGCCCTTATAGAGTAATCGAATAGTCAATGGCAGTCCTGACTATTCAGTTAGTTAATTAATCTAAATTTAACATCCCTAGTCTGGAATATGCTTGGTCAGCCCTGCCTTTTTGGCATGGAGCTGAACAATGCATGGATCCCTGCTTAGCCTCATGGCCTCTCAAGCTGTAGAAAGCCATGGAAACCTCCTAGAGTGGTGGGTGGCTTAAAAACATTCAGTTCAGCCTAACTGCAGTGCTACCTGGGGGAGCAGAGCTCTCACAGGTGAGACCCCTTGTTTCTGGTGCTCCCAGCATGCATCCTTCTGTGGCCATTCATGAGTGTCGCAAAATGCTTTTCATCTTAATAATATCACAGTAGTCACTGCATTTGTACAGGCAGTCTCCGAGTTACGCGGATCCGACTTTTGTCGGATCCGCAGTTACGAACGGGACTTTTCTCGCCCCGGAGGACGGGAGTGGCGGGACGCCCAGATGAGCCGCGGTCCCGCCGCCTGCATTCTCTGGGGCGAGAAAAGCTGCGGGCATCCTCCGCGGCTTTGCTCCGCGTCTCCCTGGTCTGCTGGGGAGGGGGGGCGCAGCGGCTGAATCTGGACGCCAGTTCCGACTTACATACAGATTCAACTTAAGAACAAACCTATAGTCCCTATCTTGTACGTAACCCGGGGACTGCCTGTATAGGGTCTAGATGCTTTTATAGGGTACAGCTACACTGCAACGCTATTATGGGATACCAGAGTATCCTGACATAGCGATCCCACGTCTTCACAGCAATGCCGTTATTTCGAGCTCGCTATTCCGACGCCCCTGTAAACCTCACTCTACGAGGAGTAAGTGATGTTTCAGAATAGCGCTTTATTCTGAAATGTGGCTCTGACTAAATAAGCTATTTCGAAATAGTATCGAAATAAGATACGCAATTTAAGCTACCCAAATTGTGTATCTTATTTCAAGTTATGGTGCAGTGTAAATGCACCCCTCCTGTGCTAAAGGAACCTCTTTCATCTTCAGAGGGGACAAGGTTTATCTTTTAATCATCATTGCTTTGACTGAGAAATAGGAGATCAACATATGTCTTTGGGTCATAGCACCCCTTAAAAACTTTCCCTGCCTGACTGATCCTTGTTTAGCTAGAGAAACACCACCATGATATTAGAACATAATAGGTATTGTTTTTGCATACTGTCATTTGTGCGAGGATGAATTAATCATCATTCAGGGGGTAGACAGTTCTGTGAACTCTTGAAAATAATGCATAATGGAGTTTAAAGTAAAGCAACCGTGGTTTTCCCCAACACAGCCCAGGGATTCTCATGGTTCCAAGGATCTGATTGTGATCTCCTTACTCACCGTGGTGATCTGAGACTTTGATTTAAGGCAGTGGAATGACTCCTGGAAATGACTCTTGGCTCATGCCGGTGTGAGCAAAGTGGCTACCATCCAATACCGCTACTACTGAGAGAACATATTCAAAACAGCTTGTGTTTGAGACTTTGGTGTTTTTGTGGAAGAGCGACATCTCTAGTGACTCCTGTGAAAAAAAGCAAATCCTTAGACTGCAGCAATAGCTGCCAGGAGAGCTCTTGAGCTCTCTCCACTACAATAATAACCTTGTATCCACATGTTTAGGAAGGCTTGGTTCCTGCAATCCCTGTGACCTCAGAATTGATCCCTGATTGTCACAACATGAGAATGCAGAAGATAAACAAATACCACTATTCCCATCTTACAGGTAGAGAAAATAGGCTCAGAGAGATTAGGTGAATTGCCTAATACCACACAGTGTCAGCACTAGGATTTGAACTTGGTAGTAGTCCTATGTCCAGGCCGCTGCCTCCTCTCTGGCTGGGCTCTCTAGTTTTCTGCCATAATTCCATTTGCACTTTTCCTGACTCCCCACATATTTTTTACCTACAGGTGGCCAGAGTCTTTTGTGCCCAGTTTCCAACAGGGCTGCAAGGAGCTGCTTTCAGGTCCCTGGTTTTCAGGCCAGTTTTGTTATCTTGCTAGTACAGTGCAAAACCACTCTGGCACGGAAGCAGAGTGACTCAACGCAATACAAGTCAAGGCACTCAGAGTTGTAGCTGTCTTTCTGTGGATGCCATATAGTGGAAGGGATGAAACCTGTGCTGATCTGGGGCAGAGCCAGGGGGCTAGCCATCCCCCCAGCATCGCCACCCCCATCTATCAGTTCCATGCAGATGGGATTTCCTGCTCACTTCAATGCTGCGGGCTGTTCCATGCAGCATCCTGCCCATCCCAATCCCCATGTCCCATAGGACAGTAGCAAATATGTTGCACTGCTAGGATCAGCTGTCACCTCTGCCCCATCCCTGCAGTGGAGCAGTTCTAGAAGGCGAACTCTGGGGCAGCAGCCAGTGGGGGAACCTGTTCCATGCAGATGGGATTTCCTGCTCACTTCAATGCTGCGGGCTGTTCCATGCAGCATCCTGCCCATCCCAATCCCCATGTCCCATAGGACAGTAGCAAATATGTTGCACTGCTAGGATCAGCTGTCACCTCTGCCCCATCCCTGCAGTGGAGCAGTTCTAGAAGGCGAACTCTGGGGCAGCAGCCAGTGGGGGAACCTGGCACCGTGGCTTCAGAAGGAAGAGGGGGGGGATCAAGGCGG